TGAGATAGCCAGGCAGACAGACATGTATGCAGGCAGACAGGCAGGCAGACAGGCAGACAGACAGGCGGGGAGATACGAAGGCAGACAGGCAGATAAGTAGGCACACATGGAAGCAGACATGCAGGCAAACACGCATGCAGACACACAGGCAATTCTATCTACTGACTGCTTGGTTGATTTGTTTTTATTGAAATCAATCAAATTGATTGATCGATTGATTGATTGATTGATCGATTAATTGATCGATCGATCGATTGATTGATTGATCAATCAAATGGGCCCAGTGCAATCAGACTCGTCTCGTTCACACTTTTCATTCACGTGAACAGCAGCACAGCAAACTGGCGACATGCGCCCACACAATACTCAGAGATATGGCTTCTAGGTAAGAGTTCACTTCCACTTGCTATGGCGACTCAGCGCCCAACAACCCACTGTTCACACACTGGATCACCCTGGATATCCCACACGCGACACTCCGAACACTCACACAACACACACACACTTCGCCCTAAGCTACAGCTATGGCAGCGCTGGCTGCCTCTACCCTATCGCTATGGCTACACCTCGTCACTCTTGCCCACTTCGACTTCGGGCCTACTGCAGACCTCCTCGCACAAGACGCTGAGACAGTGCTTCCGCATGGCTTCCGCAGGAATGAATGAATGGCTGTGCGCGGCCTCTTGATTTATACTTTTGTGACTCGCTGGTCTGCCCTGTTACCCTGGCCCACGGTGTACACAGTCCTAGACCGTAGTTGCTTGACTGGACCGGACTGACTGGACTGGGACTGCTGACTCTGCATGGTGGACTTCCACCACTTGCCCACTTGCCTGGACCTACAGTGGGCTCACTTCGAAAGGCCACTTCTAGAGACATCTACTTGGSCTTTYGGTACTGTAGTAGCTACGACTCTGCCCTTTCAGGTAAGTGGYAGCTACGACTTTGACCCKTCGGAAAGTCTACAGCTACGACCKCTGGACTGTCTAGACTCCTACCCGACAKGTYTACAGTTYGAATCCCCTATACCCTGTAACCTACGACGTCCTACCTACCACTGGCKATCCTACAGGACGCAGGTTCAACTCTACGGGTTGACACAGCTACTGTACACAGGTAAGGTGGGGATCTAGAGATCGAGCCCTGGGATCTGCATCAGCTACTGCGAACTGGTGAATACCGTTTCACTCCCGCCGGCCTAAATTCGAGGTCCTTCGAGAACATTTCAGTCCAAGGCAGGGCCTTTACCTTTCTTGTCCCTTTCGTAGGCCTTAACGATATCGGGAGCTGTTTCTAGGAGTTCAGTCCTTGTGAACCACTGGTCGTCTTTTGGTTCCTGATATGCAAACCTGACTTTATACTGCTTCTGAGGACGACCTCGACCTCCTGTTCTAAACACATCTTCACCTACAATGCCGTCAATGTCATACCTCCCATCCATGTCTGGAGGGATCATGGAACGCCTAGATGGAAACTGATCACTTACTGTGCACGGCAACAACTTTGACGCATGGAAAACGGGGTAGGTGTGGAGGTGTAGTGGAATCTCTATTGAGTCGGACGGACCATCTTCTCTGCCCTTGACTTCTAGGACTGGCCACGACCCTCTATACGCAGGCGGTAACTTTTGCGAGATGTTCTCCTCAGGAGCAAATTCTTTAGCCTTGACCCAGACTAAGTCGCCTACTTGAAACTGTGACGGGCGACGATGTTTGTTGGCTTGCTCTATCATCCTATGCTGGGCTTTCCTGAGGTTCTCTACAACAATAGCTAGTTCTTTCTCGTGCTGGATCACGAACTCCCTAGTACCGGGCGGTAGCCTATGAATCTGATCCCGGTTAAGTCCTTCAAATGGTCTGCGCGGTCTAAAGGACTTATGCAACTCATTGGGAGTGCGGCACGTAGACAAGTGCACACTATTGTTATAGGCACTGGCTACCTTGGGGAGCATCTCGTCCCAGTCAACTTGATCTGGTCTAATGTACATTCTCAGAACTTGCTGCAGGATCTTATTCATCTGTTCGGTCTGACCGTTGGTCTCTGGATGACGGCCAGACGACATCAACAACTTAGAGCCATAGACTCTCATCAACTCCTGCCAGTTCTGACTYGTGAACCGGGTGTCTCTATCACTAACTATGGACAATGGGACCCCGTGTTCACTGACCCAATGATCAAAAAACTTGCGGATCACTAATTCCGTTTGTGCTTCAAAAGGCAATGGGATGAAAACAACATACTTGCTGAACCTATCGACTATCACTATGACTTGGCTCTTGCCATGCCTACTCTTGACGCCTGCGTCCATGAAGTCAATGGACACTGAATCTCTGGGCTGATCAGGAATAGGGAAGGGTCTGAGAAAAGCTAGCGGAGCACGCGTAGTAGTCTTATTTCGCTGGCAAACTTTACAGTTGCGGACATATTCTATGCAGTCATTCTTCATTCCTGGCCAGGTGTACGCGTGCATTAGATTGGCTAGAGTCTTTTGCCAACCAAAATGACCTTCCGTGTCGTGACATTCTCCTAAGATCAGACTACGGATCTCCTCACTATTGGGAATGCACAGGCGATCAACTACGTTAGTCTTCTCGAATAACAGTCCATCAGTAGTGCGGTAATCTGGCTCTGTCTGTGGGGCCTTCTTTACTTGCTTGAGGAGGTCACTATAGATAGGGTCCTGCGCATACGCTTCTTTAACCTTTTCCTGCAGGTCTCTCCCTCTGTCCAGATAGTGAACTATCGCTCCAAAATAGTCAGCTCTCCTACTCAGAGCGTCCGCAACTACATTATATTTCCCCTTGACTGGCTTGAGCTCAAAATCATACTGGTCTATTTCTGCGGCCCACCTAGTAAGCTTAGGTGTCATCTTGGCCTGCGTCTTTAAATCATAATGGTCTACTTCTGCGGCCCACCTAGTAAGCTTGGGTGTCATCTTGGCCGCGTCTTTAACCATCTTAATGTCTCATGGTCAGAATAGACTTGGAAGTGCCTCCCAAGCAAGTAGTGCTTCCTATGTTCTAACGCTTGCCTAAGAGCGTAGAGTTCCCTCTCCTAGGTAGATGTTGCAACCTTCTCTGAAGGCATCCTAGTAGACACGAACTCTACGGGCCTATAACCATTGCCATCGTCTTGCTGCAGAGCAGCACCGATGCCGTACTGATTAGCGTCCGTAGTGACGACAAAGGGTAAGGACGGATCCGCCACCTTAAGGACTGGATACTCTATCAGTGCCTGCTTCAACTTCTTCATAGCAGACGTGCAGTCCTTGTCCCACTTCCAGATAGTCTCTTTCCTGAGCAGTCTGCGAAAGGGCGCAGCGATAGTGGAGAAGTTCCTTACGAACTTCCTATAATAATGGGCTAGGCCTAAGAACGACCGCAACTCTGTCAACGTACGCGGTGTAGGCCAATCTCTGATCGATGCGATCTTACTATCCTCGGGCTTGATGCCGTCTCCGTCTAAGACGTGGCCTAAATACAACACTTGGGTTTTCGCCCATTCGCACTTCTTTGCGTTGATCTTGAAGTTAGCTTCCCTCAACTTTTCCAAGACCTGCTTGAGATGACCCCTGATGCTCTTTGAGGGTCTTGCTAAACACTAGGATATCATCCAAATAGACTACAACGAACCTATCTAACCACGGCCTAAACAAATCATTCATACATCGTTGGAAAGTCGTTGGCGCGTTGGTTAGTCTTAAGGGCATCACGATGAACTCGTAGTGCCCATATCTAGTCCGAAAAGTTGTCTTGTATTGATCATCAGGATGAACCTCTATCTGATGATATCTGGACTTTAGATCTATCTTTGTGAAATACTTGCACCCCTGCACTCGATCCAGAAGATCGTCTATCCTAGGCAGTGGCTCAACATTCTTTACTGTGATAACATTCAGACCCCTGTAGTCTATGCACATCCTAACCTCTCCCTCCTTCTTGGGGACAAACAGGACAGGTGCTCCAAATGGAGACGAACTGGGCCTAATCCAACCCTTCTCGAGGAGCTCGTCTAATTGCTTGCGCAGCTTCTCTAACTCCCGTGGGACATCCTATACACGGCTCCTTTGGGAGTTCTACTGCCTGGCTCAATCTCAATGCGGTGCTGGATAGGCCGCGGTACTACTACTATCGGCGGCTCAGCTAGATCTTTAAACTCCTCCAACAGCTTGGCAATAGCAGGGTCTATAGGCTTTTCTTCCTTCGGCTCACTTACTGGCCTAGCATAGGCTACAAAAACCTGTTCCTCCAGTTGCTCCTTTTCACGAGCCTTGCGAACGCAGGAGCACTAAGGCAGCAATGCGCCAGGGAGTTATCTACTCCTGACACATGGAACAGACGGGCAGTCTTGACACCGCCTGACGGGCTAGGGAGCCTACACTCTTGCTCTCTCAAATGGAGTGTGGCCCCTGCTGCCTCTCCCCAGTCCATACCTAGGACTATATCGAATGGGAGGCTATCCTTTACGAGGAGGGTCAGGGAATGGAGAACCTTCTCCACCTTCCCATCCTGTTCTACGCGGAAATACGTCTGGACTCCCTCTACGTATTCTTCCACTCGCATCGTGCGATTGTCCGCGAGGATACTCACAATGGAGTCTGCCAATCTTTGGACTTTCAGTTGCAATTTCAGCTTCTGCAACACCTTCCTACTAATATAAGTACGAGTGGCTCCACTATCCACTAAGGCGCCAACTCGGCCTCTAAAAATCTCTGTGTCTACTAATATAAGCTGCCCCTTATTCTCCTTTTTCATCTTGGCCCAGACGGGCATCCTCTCTTTCAATTCTTCAGCCACGCCTGTGAGGGAGGTGTCTAGAGAGACTCTAACACAAGCAGTCTCTGGACAGCCATCTAGACACCGGCCTGCAACCTATGCCATAGGCACATGTGGTGTGGGAGTCTCCTGCCGGCTAGCGCTACTTTCCCCACATGGCCTTGTGGTAGGGGCAGTTGCTACCCCTACCGGCGGCTGCCTTTTGGCCCTTGAGCAGCCGATCGGGTCTCCCTGTACTTTGGACAGTACTTAATGATGTGGCCAGGGTCACCGCAATAAATGCATTATCCCTGGGTCACACTCTGTTGCCATATGCGCTGGTCCAGACCCAAATCTTCCCAGGGCCTGCCTTGTGGCAGCCCTGGGTGCCAACCACTTCTCCTGTAAGGGGACCTATTCCCAGACCGATTTTGCGGGGGACCTTGACCCCTTCCTCCCGCTTGGCGGTTTCCTCCTCTGCCGCCAACCCTTTGATCGCCCTGAGAACGGTTCCCTGAGGCCCGGCCCCCTTGGCCCTGGCCTCGTCCCCCTCCTTGCGGCCTCCCCCCGACCGCAACAGCAGCGTATGTCCTCCCCTGACTACTGCTATTGTCATCGTCCTCTAACCCCCACTCAATCTGCTTGTAGGGGATCTCGTCAACACTACCTTCATCTAGAGTGAGGACAAGACTATCCTTAGTCTTAACTTGCCCTGAGATAGTGCGACCTTTCCATTGCTTTCCCTTGTCTAAGTCTTTGTGCCAGAAGGTGGAAACTGACACAGACATTGCCTCAAAAGCCACCACTTCACGACTAAGGGAATCATAAGTGGTGGCAGGATCTTCGCTCTTTGCGAAGAAGTGCCCTCGGAAGGCTTCGGGCATAGCCCGATAGAAGAGGCTGACCAACTGGGTCTCTGTGACCCCGTGGTCAGGAACAACCACTAATTCGTCCATGACACCCTTGAGTGCCCTGGCACTCTTCCATTTACGAGCGTGGATTGTCTGAAGCTTATCCGAGGCCTTGACACTACGAGCGGCATCAGCAAACCGCTCGCGCAACAATTTCATGAAATCGACGAGGGCGGTGAATGACGAATAGGCAACTGCATCATTATTGCAGTTAGCAGCGCGGACTAGGGATCTCGCGGAACTGGCAGCCTCATCTCTAAGCGCATGGATTGCAATCAACACGTGCTGGTCCGGGGAGACCTGCTGCAGATGCACATAGGTCTTAACGTTGGCCTCCCAATTGTCAAAGTTTTCCTCCCTCTTCCCGATGTAGGAATCGGGGAACTTAACTTTGACGGGTTCCCTTCGAGGACGTGCCTCTTCCTCCTTGGGAGCGGTCAGCTTGACGCCTTCAATGGCGCCTACGCAGAATCGTTCTGTCTTCTCGAGGCGATGGTTCACCTCGGCCCCTACAGCGCCTACCAGTTCGCGGGCAAAATCCCGAAATCCCATCTGCATCGAGCGCACGGCCATATCCTGACTTCTACTAAACTCGTATTGTTCTCCCTGTACCCGGGCTAAGCGCTCAACACTCTGGGCAATGATCTCCACTTTTCGTTGGAGATCCACCTGGGCGGCCATCTGCTCTCTCAGATTCTTGACTTGCTCCAACTCTTTGGCCGCCTCACTTGCCGCCTCTACTCTTCTTTTGTTTTCCCTCATCATCATGAGCCTCCACTCCATCTTCTTCCCATCCTCCATCGCTTGCCGCTTTAGGGAGTCTTCCTCTGCATCCCATGCTTTAACGACGGCTTCCTGCTTATTCTTGGGGATATACATTGCAACCTCCTCTTCTTCTCCCAAGGACAAGTTGGCAACCCATTCCGAAATTTTCTTCTCTATTTCATCCTGCTTAACTTCAGTGGCCTGCCCCCGTTGCCATCTCCTCCTTTCCAGTGGCTGATCATCTTCCTCCTCCTCTTCTACCTCTTTCAATTTCGCCTCCTCCTCTTTCTTCAATCTTTCTTTTTCTCTGGCCATCTCCTCCTCAATCTTCTTCAATTTCGTCGCCTGCTCCTCCAACAAGGCCTTCTTCTTGGCCTCCTTCTTCTCTTTCCTCTCTTTCAGTATGGCGGCGGCCTTGGCCTCTTCTTCAGGGGTGTAGGGGTGCGTGGTCGTACCACCCTTGGTCTCTACCCTACACGCAAAGGTGTTCCAGAATCCCAACGGAAACATGAAACGCCGAAGGGTCCCCCAAAGGGAGAACCCAACGAGTAGACCATACATGGGGTAGTCATCCATGGTGTTCAGGTGCACGACAATGTCCCACTCCTCACCACGTAGACCTACCCAAAACACTGACTGACTGACTCTCTAAGGACCACAGGGCAGAACCTTGTCAACTATGGTCACTAGCCTAGACCTACTCTAAGGCTGTCACTATCGAACCAGTGGCTGATCTGGAGGCATTTAAGGAGATCCCCCTAACTCCGCAAGAATTCTTTAACGTCGCAGACAGGACGACGTGATCAGCTTGGTTTTGCCTGTGCTTTCAGCCCACAACTCAGCCTTTCCGGCCTACTGTGCCACACCGAGCAGCCCACCGGTCTGTACCGGTCCTTGGGAGGGTTCGTATCCCTAGGGACAGTCGAGTCGTCAGACACAGATCCTCAGCCTTACTTGGTCCGGTAGGGGAGTGGTTCAAACAGGCCCTCAACACTTAAAGACTGCCTGGTGTGTCAGCCCCAACTCAGTCTTTCAGGCCCATTGTTCCATACCAACCGTGTCCAGCCGGTCAGCACTGGTCCTTGGGAGGGTTAGGCCCCCCGTGGACAGTTGGATCTTTCACAGCCTCAGCCCTACTAGATCCGATAGGGGTTTCGTCATCCAGACCTATCCTTCATGCACAGAGTACTATCACCTAGGACAAAAGAGACTCAATGCAGAAAGAAGAGACAGACAGACTCAGGCTCAGCAAGTACCGCCGGGTGAGTGCACATCCACAGGGTGAGGGGGTAGGCTAGGGACTTGGCGAGATATTACCAACTCCAGCTTGGTCAACGGCGCCGGTCAACTCCTCGGTCAACGCGGCAAGACCTCGGTCAACACCCCGGTCAACCCTCTGGTCAACGTCCGATCAACCCTCCGGTCAACTCTCCACCTCGGCTATGGCTGTCGGCACCTTGTCCTTCGCCACCCTTGTCTTGTCCTTCCTCCTCCTTCACCTTCTTCTTCCTTTCTCTTTCCTTTTTTTTTTTTTTTTTTTTTGTCACCCTCGGCTATGTCTGTCTTCTTCTCCGATGTCCCTCCTTCCACACTTCTTCCTCTATCTCTCTCCTTGGTCCCTCCTCTCTGTCCTCCTTCGTCACTCTGTGGTACAGCTCCGCGGCTATGGTCGCTTTCTCCCTCCTTCGTGGGTCTGCTCAGCTCGCTTCACAGGTAAGTGACAACCAAACTTATATCGCTCCTCTCTCTCTCTCTCTCTCTCTCTCT